GTCTGCCTCTGCATTGCCTTGGGATAAAAGCCCAGGCAATCCTTGGTGCCATCTAAGATGCTGTAAGAAGATAAGGGCTTTTTCTCCTTAAGGAGCATATGAGTCTGAATACTGTCAGAAAGCAATGGCCATGAGTTCCTTGAATTGAGCTGCTTTTTGGTTTCTCCACATCTGCCCCAGTCAGTGAAAACATTGTAGGCTTTCACTAAGGGCTCCCTCAGCCCTGGGATTTGGCGAGCGTTGCTGCCAGTGGGGCTGTAACACTTGGGGGTGAGGTGGATCCCCCACCACCTTCCCTGAACTGGGCCTTCCCAGCCGTCCCGGAGCAGGTTGCAGCACACAGCCAACAGTGTTTTTTTTGTTTATTTTATTTTATTTATTTATTTATTTTTTTAAATGCACCTGGTGGCTGCCACCGGTCGCCAGCCAGGGGCGGTCCCCTGCCCAGCTTTCGCGGGGGCCCCTTACTTGTGCACTCATTAGTTCAAGGTGGATCAGGTGGGCTGCTTTCACACCTGACCCCGTGCGCTCCACCCCGCCCTTCTGAAAAAGGCATCCATGGGTCCTGTTTTCATGGGTCCCGGGAGGCTCTGAAGCTGGCCAGGGCATGCCTGAGGTGCTGCTTGTTATTTTGGCCACTTTTGGTTCCATTTCTGTTGCATTTCTGCGTTCTTCCTCAAACTCTTCCCATGATTCCCATGTATCCCCAGTAAAAACATTAGCCCCAAGTAGCCAGGGAGCCAAATGAATCACCCCTGCCCAAACCTTTTGAGCTACCGGATCTGACAGGTCCAATCCCCTGCTTTTAAGCATATCTCTCAGTGCTTTAAGCTCCGGGTCCTCAGGCTTAATAGTTGCGTTACCCATCTTTCGGGTTTCGCTTACCCCGAACTTCCCGATTGGCCCCAATCCTTTTTTCTTTTCTTTCTTCTTTCTTTTCTTCTTTTCACCTTCCTTTGAGTGCCACGCTGGGCGCCAGTTGCCGGGGGTTCAAACCAGTGACCCCCCCCCGCCGGGCAGTGATGACTGGGGATGAGTAAGCATGCTGTTTGCCAGCCCATGCCACCCCCAGTACTGGGGACACTCAGATGCATTGGGGAGCCTAGTCAAGCAGGGACTCATTTATCGCAGGTGTTACAGAGCTTATAAAGGCACCTGGAACTCCCCCCTCCCCCGCTGAGGGTGTATCTTAAGGATGGTCAGTACTGATCATGCGCTCCTCAGCAGTGCGGTCAAAGCAAGTCAGGCCATGCCCCAGTAACTGCCTCTCAGACTTCTACAAGGTGGGGCCTTTAGGTCCCCACACACCAGCACAAGGAAAAATAAAAGACATTAGAAAGAAAGAAACCCCTGAAAACCCACAGCTCTTTTCTCCTAACCCTATGCTCTCCCCAGTCTAGATGACAAATTTCACTTTTGAGAAACTGAAATTAATTGGTGTGTTTACAGGGAGACTTTGGCATCCCTGGCTATGGTCAAACAGGACGAAAAGGAGTGAAGGTAAATATGGAAAACAGTTATCTTCTTAACTGATAAATCAAACTTAGCTATTCCCAGAAGAAATGATCGTCTTGAGGAAGTGGTGTGTTGATTTGTTTGTCTTCTGCTGAACATTACAGGGCTCAACAGGATTCCCTGGAGACTCAGGGCAGAAGGTACGGTGCACGTCGACTTCCTCAGCCATCACCATGGGCTTGAGAACTGAATGAGCCATTGAACCAAGTGCAGTGAGAAGGGGCAGAGGGGGAAGGGGGCAGTTGCTTCCCATGGGCTTTGTGAACATCTTAACCCCTGTGAGTCTTTATGGTAGAAGAGAGCCTACCCTTTGTTGCCCAATCCCCCAACCTTGAAACCTCCTTCCAGGCAACCTCCCTGGTTTAGTTCTCTGTCCTTGTTAGGATGGCTGTGCCTTGGTGATCTCATTCACCTTGGTTATTGTTAATCACCCTTTTGTATTCTGACCTTTGGTTCCTTTCACCTGAAAAATCTAACAGTTATCTCCTTGGTCTTTTATTTTAGTCTTCTCCCTGTGTAAGTTAATCATTAATATCTCCATCACTAAATTCCCCATCCCCCAGACATAGCCTAATTATGCTACTTTCTTTTTTAAAATTTATTTTTTATTTTATATGTGTGAGTATATTGCCTGCATGTATGTAAGTGTACCTGTGTCATGCAATGCTTGTAGAGGCCAGAAAGGACACTGAACCCCTGGAACCAGACTTACAGATGGTTGGTAACTTCCCTGTGGGTACAGAGAACCGAACCTGGGTCCTCTGCAAGAACAGCCAGTGCTCTTAACTGCTGAACCATCTCTCCAGCCCTATGCTACTTTCTTGATCAAGCATCTTCCAGATTCCTCACTGTCTGGTAGACTGAAGCCTGTCTTCATGCGTGTAGAACTAGACACAGCTTTGACTTTAACAGGAGCCACCCTTATTACATCTTTGTACAGTAGGGCTATGAACTGTGATTTCCTCGTCCCCCAAGTGTGTGAAGAATGGTGTCTTTCTTGTGGTGCTCAAGTCAAAATGAGAACTATGAGTTCAAAGTAAAATGTTTAATAAATTAACTCTATGAAGACAGCCAATTTTGGGATCATCTTAAAAGTGCATTTAACTTATGAATTACCTTGGGAAGAAAAGAGTTTAAGAAGAGACTACATGAATAGCTATTAGAAGGGTTCTCATTAGTTTTATAATTTATTGATAAAGGAGTAAATTTTAGCAATTTACTGATTGATGTAAAATGAACATCTTGACAAATATCTACCACAAAAGACTAAATTTTTAAATGAGGCTTCATATTTTTATTTTTATTTATTTTTAATGAACTCTTTAAAAAATCTTATCTATTTATTTGGGGTATGTGTGTGTGTGTGTGTGTGTGTGTGTGTGTGTGTTTAAGTAGGAATGCTGATGTTACAGATGTGTACCCCTGCATCTGGCTTTTCATATGGCTCCCAGGAATGGAACTCAGGCTGTCAGGCTTGTGTGCATAGGGTTTTAATCTGCTAATTATTTCCTTGGTTCAAGACTAATTTTTTTTCCCTTCAACTTTTCCAGAAATAATTTATGGAACTAGGAAGTGATTCATTATTTAATTTTTTATTTAATTATGTAGTCAAAACTCTGTGTTTACCAGTATATTCTCTGGGTATTTTTAGTAACTGCATGTTCACCGAGTTGATATTTATATGTAAATATTTGCATTACTAAAATATTGAAAATTAGTTTAGAGAATATCTCAGTATACTAACAGCTTTGTTCCAAATGTCAGGAAAAGGTGACACTATTGTCTTGGCCCTTATTAATATGTAGAATGATGATGATAAGATCAGTGAAGTTTGATTAGAGGAAAAGTTTTGTTCTTCCATAGCAAATATTTTAACGTTTTATTTTGTCTGAATCAGGGTGATGCTGGAGATCCTGGAATTCCTGGAGGACCTGGACCCAAAGGATTTCGGGGACTAACTGTAAGTGGCCCATGATTCAGAAACAATAAATATTTCTTTTGCAGACTCTGCCTTTCTTGTTGTCAAAACAAATGTGCATTGTTGATCCATTCCAAGAGCATCTTGAAATGCCACATCCTAGCCATGTGACCCATGGCACACCTTTTCGTGGCCTCTATTTCTGGGACATAAGACTTGAGCCTGCTGGCACATACAGTAATTTCTGGCTCTGCTAGTCTATGACTACATGAATCTTAACGATTTTTTTAATGTTATAAACTGATGACTGGTTGTTGCAGAAACACCAGTGCCCTCCAGCCTTTTGCAAGGAACACACAGTCCCAGAATACTAAACTGATGAGTGGAATTAAAGCTGACATGTTCCCTCTGTGCCCTCCAGGGCCACCTGATGATGCCACTGCCCATACGATGGTTAAATGCAGTATTCATTTAAGAAAGAATCTCAAGATGTTCTAATTAGCAAAGCACAGATCAGAACTCACTGATTTCTTAATACAAACTGCTGAGGCAAGCATCCTTTCATTTTGAAGTCTCAGTGCCATATTCATCAACACCCTGGGTGTGAGAAATAGAGTTCAGCAGATACTTTCCACCTGGCTGCATATATTTTGTCAGTGTCCCTGTCCGTCACCTAGAGGTAGGGAAATAATACATTCCATTCATGTACCACTTTGTATGTAGGGAGCCATCTTTATTATTTGATCTTTTATAGATAAGAGGCTTTAAAGAATTAGATCCTGGTGTGCTCCAGTTTTCTTATTAGCACCAATCCTCGCTTATGACTAATTTAGATTTAAATTCACAGCCAGTATCAGAGCAAAGTATGTACTAAATGAAGGGGCTAAGAAACAGATGTTTACCAGTGATTAAGAGTGGCTTGTATTATAGGTAAAATTTTACCTGATTTGAATATATAGCTGCTATCTTTTATTTTTATTTAAATTATTATCATTTATATTATTATTATTATTATTATTATTATTATTATTATTATTATTCATGCTGTTAGGGATGGAACCCAAGGTCTTACATAAGCTAGGCAAGCACTCTACTACAGAGTTACATCCTCTAACCAGCTGCTCTTTTAAAAACAAATTTTGTGAATTATAAAGTCTCATTTCAATTGAATTACTCTCAGGGCTGGAGAGATGGCTCAGCAGTTAAGAATAATGGCTGCTCTTGCAGAGGACCTGGCTTTGGTTCCCAGCACCCACATAATAGCTAACAACCATATATAATTCCAGTTGCAGGGGAATCTGATGCCCTCTTCTGACCTCTGTGGGCATTGCATGCTTGGGAGCATTTATATATATGCAGGCCACTTACACACATAAAAAAAAATTGGGATAGGGGCTGGAGAGATGGTTGAAGAGGACCCAGGTTTTATGCCCAGCACCCACATGGCAGCTGGCAACCGTCTGTAACTCCAGTTCCAGGGGAGTCAACACTCTTCTGACCTCTGCAGGCATTGTATGACATAACTGCACTTACATACATGCAGGCAATGCACTCATACACATAAAAAATAAAAATAATAAATAAACATTTTTAAAATTTGGCGATAGTCTCTATGGGCACAAAATGAAATTAATGTTTCTTCCTGCCTTCAGCTTACTGCAGGCTTGAAAGGTGAAAGGGGAATTCAGGGACCTCAAGGCCCTCCTGGACGGAGAGTGAGTATACTCATGAACACTGAACTGTGTGTGTGTGTGTGTGTGTGTGTGTGTGTGTGTGTGTGTGGTGTGTTGGTTTCTGGTATATCCAATGGAAGGGATGCCGATCAGTCAGAAGTACTGGGTTCAAGTCCAGATTCTTCTTCATATCAGCTGTGTGTCCTTAGGCTAGTCATTGGGTCTCTTAGTCTATTACTGTATTAGTTACTTTTCTGTTGCTGTGATAAAACACCATGACCAAGGCAATTTATAGAAGGCAATTTATTTGGCTTATGGTTCCAGAGGGATAAGAGTTCATCATGGCAGGGAGGCCTGGAGGACCGGGGGCAGGAAGTAGTTGGAGCACAAAGCTGAGCACTTATATTTTCAAGCACACACACCAAGTATATGGGGGGAAGGAAATGGGGCAAGATTATGAACTCTCAAAGCCTGGCACCTCCTAAACCTCTGCAAACAGCATCAGCAACTGAGGCCAAATATTCAAATACCTGGAACCCCTTGGAAGCATTCTCACTCAAACCACCACAGTTACTAAGACGAGGATGATACATCCTGCCCTAACTGCCTCCATGGGTAGCTGCAAAGATCAGTATGTAAATACTCTGTAAACTGTAAAACTCAGTGCAAGCATTCTCTATCATTGTCATTTATTACCAAAGCCATTGAAATGGAGCTGCGCTTGCATAAGCTTCACAGAGGTCTCCTGACAGAGTTCCATTCTGCAAAGCTTGTTGATGGAGTTTGCCAAAACCACCTTGTGGTCTTTCTAGCTTCAAGTTGGATTCCAGAGAGATCTGGAAATGTAACCACAACTTTCTACTATGATTCCATCATAAGAGAAATGTCATCCCTGGATGCATTTCCAGGCAGAGAGTCAGGCTCGTCTCCCACCAGCAGAATATCTGCATCTCGGTCTTAGAGCCTCATGTGTGGTTGTGATGGTTCAGTTTCAAGTCCCTCCCCCTTCCCAAACAGAGATAGGTCAGAACTAAACATGGCTAGCACCTGCCTTGTGGTGGAGACCCAGCCAGCCCTGTGTAAAGAGTGGATCAAATGCTTATCTTGTTTCATGCTTTGAGGGGGTTCTTGGGACTTTGTAAAGCAAAGAATGTGGATGGTTCCATGGCCAGATGATTCTGCAGTAGACTGTAAAGGATACTCTGTGAAATGGGTGAGTATTCGAGTCATGTGAGTGGCCCATCTCATCTTGGGCCTGTCTTCTCTCCTTCAGCTTCATCTCTCTTCCAGATCCTGGAGCTGCAGTTTGGGGGCCCCACATCTCCTGAGTTTCGTGCTTGGCTCCACTGGTCTGCATTGGGGTGTGGCTTCTTTGTTTACAGCTCTTGGTTCTCAGCCCTTGCTTAAGAGTTTTCTCAGACTTACTCTTAGGCTCACTTTTTCAGGACAAACTCTCCCTACTTCTGTCCCTCTGTAAAATGTGGCCCTTCTGTTTACTAGGCAGAAGTTGCTTCTCTGTTTAAGTGGCCATGCATTCTTTTCTGTTTTCTGTCATAACTTGAAAGAAGGTAGTTAAGACTCTGTGTCTTTTAGTGATTTCTCTACTGGGTAGACACATGGATGCCACACAGTTCTGGTTAAACTAGCAGCACACAACAGGGTAACCCCGCCACGTAGTAGACATTTAGCCATTTATTGGGTGGATGGATGATGGGTGGAGGATGGGTGGATGGACAGATGCCTTGTTTATCATTTAGAGCAGAAGTTGCTATGCTGACATTTCTGGTTGAGCTTCTGGGAGGGGGCAAGTGTTCAAGAAGATGCATGAGTGTGAGTATGTAATAGCATTTCTTCCTGATGTGAACACTAGTCATCCTTAGTTGCCTAAGGAATGGAAAATGAGTTAAGAACCACTGCTAAAACAAGCCCTGGTAAGAGGACATAAGGAAAAGGGAAGAGGAAGCTCACGTGGCTGAGAATCAGCACTGACTTCTTCTCAGACCTCCTCCCTGCTTGCTCTCACCCAGCTCTTTTATTCCTTTGCTCCAGTCTCATGTCATTCACAAGCTTAGCGAGGATGCTATTCTTTTGTGCAAATCTCATTTTGCTGTGCTGTTGCCTCTAGTTCTTTTGTCTATATTAAGCTTGCTTATTTAAGCCTCTTGCATTTTAAACTTCTGATTTGTAAGATAATCTACCTCTGGGTTCTAATAAATCCCTCTTCTTTCTCCTACCCTTTGGAAAGTCTTATATTTCTAAATATTCTTATGAGAAATACCTTCATATAAGTATTGCCTCTTTAAGATAAACATCTTTAAGAAATAGTCTTGTGCCGGGCGTGGTGGCGCACGCCTTTAATCCCAGCACTTGGGAGGCAGATGCAGGTGGATCTCTGTGAGTTCAAGGCCAGCCTGGTCTACATAGTGAGTTCCAGGACAGCTGGGGCTACAGGGAGACCCTGTCTCAAAAAAAAAAAAAAGTCTTGTTTCTTTATGTCTTCCTACCGAGGAAACACAAGTCAGTTCACTTTGGGGATATTTTAGCTTACTTGGTAGAACACTGAAGCAAGGGCTTATAAGCTGGTTCACTCCTGGAATCCCAGCACTTGAGAGGCCATTGGCAGGAGGATTGTGAGTTCAAGGCCAATCTGGAAAACATACTGAGACCCTGTCTCAAACAAAACAAAACGAAAAACATCAAAACAAAAAAGAGTTTACCCCCTTGACATGAGTAGGAAAAGCACATTATAATCGGCCTGCCAGGCTCGGGGTGCTTTAGCCACTTGGCCGACGGTACTTCAACAAAGGAGTTTTGTTTGTTTGTTTGTTTATTTATTTATTTTTGTTACTAAAGACCATAGTTCACTAACCAATAACGTTTTCTTTTTTTTCTCCCTAGGGTCCTAAAGGCACAGCAGGGCAGCCTGTATATCCTGTATGTATCTGTTATTCATGAAAACATAATCCCCAGCTAGAACATCGGGGAACGTACATCCACTGCAGGTCATTGAACTCATGTTATTTTCTGTCTCTATTTTAAACTTTACAGCCATGTGAGCTGATCCAATTCCTGCGAAATCACAGTCGTAAGTGTCTATCTGTTATGGTTAAGAGCATCAGTGGTTAGTGAGGACACTTGGGATTGAGCATAGTGTGGTCTTCTTGTGGAATGAGAGGGCTGAGCTCTCTGGTGAGGATTGCCCCAGGTCCCACCTCTCGGAACATCCAAGATGGAAGAAAAAAGGGTCAAGGTCAGCTCATGAGGTATGATGCATATGAAGAGGAAATACGCATATGGGAAATAATGAGACCAGTTCGAAAGGTGTATGAACCAGATATTATTAGTAGTATGAAACTGATGGTAAAGGGTTGTAGATTAAGGTATAGATTTAGTTGGTTGGTTATTTAGTTACTTAGATATTAGTGTCACTCAAGTGTGGGTGGTCTTTAAAAGGGACATGATGATGTTCCCAAGGCTGTGAAACTAGTTAGAAATTTAAGGGATGAACCCAGGAAGGTGCCTTGACAGAGGGGACAAGGTACAGTAATGGGATTCTAGAGATGGGAAAAGCCCGCCAAATGTACACAGCTTAAAAGAAGAGAGCTGATGGAGAAAACGATCTAGGGGCCTGGGGAGATGGCTCAGCAGGTAACAGAGTTTGCTGCGTAAGAATGAGGACCCAAGTTGGAATCCTAAGCAGTCACATAAAAATTAGCCAGGCCTGGGTGACCACACCTGAAACTTGAGTACTGGGAGTGGGAAGGGGAGAGGATCACTGGAGTTTGTGGGCCACCAGCCTACCAAAAAGCAGTAAGCACCAGTTTCAGTGCGAGGCCCTTTCCCAAGGAATAAGGTAGAGAGTGGCAGAAGAGGACACTGGACATCCTTCTCTGGCTTCTGCACGTGTGCATGCACGGGGGTGAGTGAAGCCGCAACACAGAGTTGTGCGTGTGCACACAAAAGAAGATCCAAAGGGAGGGCAGAGTGTGAAAGACTTTGCTTGAGAGTTAGCAAAGGGGAAGGAACTAGAATTGTGGGGAGAAGAAGAGGGAAGGGCAGTAACAGGGGGAATGAGCGGCAATCAGTCTCTCTAGACATTGCTGGCCTTCTCTGGGAAATCAGATGTCTTCCCCAGGAAGACCCAGGTTAGGAGGAGGGGTAGCACTGAAGGGTTTGAGACTTGAAGGATTAAGTTTTCCAGAACTGTATAAAAGGAATTGGCCAGTATTTAGCCAGAGGGAAAAATAAATGGATTGCATAAACACGTAGGGCATTGACTGGGCTAGTGTGGAGCTCCCAAACGCAGAATGGAGATAAGGGTTAGATGACAGACCTTTACGGTTTTGTAGACTGCATCACTAAGGCCACCTTGAGGTTGGACTCCTGGTCTCACATCCTTGGCTTTCCTATCCTGCAGCATCTCTCTGCCACCCAAGGATGATGGCTAGGTCCTAACATGGTAGCTAGGATTCTCCCCTGAGAATTAAATTAATCTAGGAATGGAGGTGGGAAGAGAAAGAGATGGTTGAGAATACAGCAGGAGATCTCGGGTGATTAATGCTTTGAAGGGAACTACATAAGGATAACTCCAGGAGAGTATGTGAAGTAATGTTCCCCCAAAGTTACCCATGGACTAAAACTCAGCAGGTCAGTCTGAAGTCAAGCCCTGGAGAGATTTGTTTTCAGCCTTGGGATACAGAAGAGGCTGTAGGTTACATGTACTGTCTGATGGCTCTGGGCATCTCAGTGCCCACGGGATTAAGACAAGCACAGGGTGGTGGGTAGGGGACCATATTTTGAGATGGCAGGATGGGAGGCATTTTGTTACTGGTGTTAATAAACTTAAAAAAAATTAAATTGGAGTGACTCATTTGCTTCCTAGGAATTGAGTCAACTATCCATTGAGACTGTGAGCCTGTGGCTTCTTAAAGATTTATCAGCACTTTCCCTGATGAGGCTCAGGTTTATAGAGTGAGACCAGATGCTGCCCTGCTCACAGAAACCCTTGGGGTTTCTCCCTTCGTCTCTCTAGAAGTGAAAAATCACTCAAATAGAGCTGTATTTTTAATCAGAGGCAAAGTTCATTTGAAAATCTCCCCGTGGTTCTATAGGAAGATAGAGGGTCCCAATGCAATCATAAGGAAAGAAAATCAGACCCTGTATTTTAGTCATGGGTTGCCAAATGACTCTCTGAGGCTGTGAGATGAGAGACAAAACAAATTGGATTTCAGCTATCTGGCCATGTAATCAGAGCCTCATCTATTCTGTTTCTAAGACAAGTGATCAGCATTTCGGCTCCAGCTCAAAATCTGCTGAAGTCTGCCAGCCTGCCTCGCAAGGGGACAAGGTCAAGGATGCTCCCAAAAGACTACAACTCTGTGAAGAGCTTCCTCAGTCCTTTAACCATGGCTTCCTATGGCTTAGATGTTAGCCTCATTTTTAATTAGTGCCAAATCACAATCTTCATTAAACCTTTTTTGGGGGGATTATTTTTGTTCTGTCTTCCAAAAATGTAACAGATTCTTCTCTCTTTGTTTCCTTTTCTCAGCTTGTTGGATCGGTGAGTGTTCTGACCATACTGTTTCTCATTGAAATCATTATTGTGTTTTGATAAGACCAATTTGAGCAAAACCTCTACCCTCCCCTTCCCTGGGAAAAAAAGGACTTCTTCTCTTTATGCAGACATTTGTCTTTTGATAGTGACTGTACCTGTCAACGTCATATTTTGGCCTGAGTGCCAGCATGGTGACCCTTGCAGCCCCTCACTGTCCTGTCTAGGGGATGCCACAGATTTCTACTCAGTTTTTTTTTTTTTGCAGAATAGGTCCGATGTTGCTGGAGATTCAGAGGACAGGTTTCTGACTCATCTATACTGTCCCCAGCAACACTGCAACTCTGGTTTCTTGGCTGTGGTGTGTATCCTGCCTTCTTTAACTCACATCCCCACCTGCCATCTCACCAAGTGTTACCACATGTAAACCTTGCCCTGCTTGGGGGTGGCCTTGCCAGGGCCCAGGTTCCTTGAATGACTTGGTCATTGAGGCCAGTTATATCACCTCAGGACTTCCTGGTCTCCTGAAGTCAGCTGGAGGTGATGATACTCAGGGCCTTCGAGCTTGTCCAAAGTTTGTGCCCATTCACTTTAATTCTTCAAAACAAAACAAAACAATAACAACAAAAACATCTTGTGTATGGTAAGTACTCAATAAAAGCTCCTGGATTTGTGTCAGGTACTCTTTTAGGCATTGGAGAAGGGAAAGAACAAGAACAAGGAAACCAACTCTACCTTCCAGGAGAGCCTGTGAGGATAGATCAGTCTTGGAAATGCTTTCCAACCACGTTTCCAGTCACTTTCAATACAGAGCTAAGGAATAAGGAATAGTCCAGCTTGTATTCTGCTGTTCACTGTTAGCTTTCAAACTTAAAAACTTCACAGATAATTTCTTGATTCAAAACATATCTCTAAATGAGTGCTTTCTTATTTTTATCATGAAGAACAGTGGTTTAGATATGGGGTGTTTTGAGTTAAACACGCTTTGGGAGCTAGCCAGGTTGGAGAATAGCCTACAGAGACAAAGGTGCTTAATTAAAAGTAAATCCTGGGGCAGGGGAGATGGCTCAGTGGTTAAGAGCACTGACTGCTCTTGCAGAGGACCCGGGTTCTATTCCCAGCACCCAAACGGCGGCTACGAACCGTCCTTAACTCCAGTTCCAGGGGAATCTTCTGACCTCCGTGGCATTGCACGATGCGGGTGCACTCACATACATGCAGGCAATATACTCATACACATAAAATAAAAATAGTATATAAAATATCTAAAAGTAAATCCTTTTCTCATGTTTAAACATCAATAAAAACATTGAAAACTTAGGCTTGGGATGGGAATATAGCTCGATTGGTAGAATGTTTGCCCAGCATGCACGAGGCTCTGGCTTTGATCCCAGCATTGCATAAACCAAGCATAGGGGTGAATGTCTGTAACCACAGCATTTAGGAGTTAGACAAGAGAATTGGAAGTTCAAGGTCTTCCTTGGCTATAGTGGATTTGAGGCTAGCCTGGGTTACATAAAACCCTGTATTGAAAGAAAGAAAGATTGATTGATAGAAAAGTTAAGCTTGATACATTGGGAAGATTCTCTATGAATTCTTAAAGTTTGGTCATCATAACATGATTAGTATTAAGCTAGGAGTTGTAGACAGTTCCATTTCTGTAGCAATTCATTGCAAACCTTCCTTGTTTCAAATTCTTCCCTTCTTCCTGCCGCCACAGCTTTTGTGCAGAGACTGGGTTTTATGAAGCCTTGAAAGACCTCCTCTTCGTTCTCTGGCTGCTTGTTGAGTCTAGTCGTCTCTCTGCACTGTGTGTGTCACCATCCTTTCCAGTTTGAGTTCTGTGAGGGCAGACTTGCACTTTCTTCGTATGTGCGTGTGTTCCACAGTGGACACCACACTGCAGTTTGAGCTGTAGGTACTCCATAAACATTTGTTGCACAATCAGTCTGCCAAACAGGCATAACTAATAAATTATATTGAAGATTTGGTTTGTTGATACAAGGTCTCATTATACACCCCTATACATCCCAGGCTGGCCTTAAACTCATGATCTTCCTATCTCAGCTTCCCAAAGTTCTGAGATTTCAGGCTTGAGCCACCATGTCTAGCTGAAGATTTTTTTTAGGAGAAAAGATTTTTTCAAAATCCTCAATGAATATATGAACTTACGTTCATTTAAAACACACACATGTGATAACTTCAAATTTGTGTGTGTGTGTTTTCAGTTTTAACATACACATCGATTCATTCAACCCCAGTCGGAATGTAGAACAGTTCCATAACTGCTCCATTTCCCTTGAAATAGCAGACTGATAGTGAGCTGTGAAGTCTGGGCAATGTATATCGATATTAATGTTCTACATTTATGTAACACCTTCTCTTATAAGGCAGATTCCTTTCCTTCTTTATACACGGCCACCCCTACTTCCAGAGTGTGGTAAAGCCTGGCTTCACCCTGTTTGAACCAACTTTGCTAGAACAGAGGGTGTGGGGAAGGCTTTGATGTAGTGAAACAGCTTAGTACTTTCACTTTTCATTTTTATAGAAAAGTGTCCAGTATATCCAACAGAGCTGGTATTTGCCCTGGACCAGTCCTCTGGTGTCACAGAACAGAGATTCAATGAAACAAAGGATATAATCAGTTCCATCGTCAATGACCTAAACATCAGGGAAAATAACTGTCCCGTGGGAGCAAGAGTTGCTGTGGTTTCCTATGCCTCTGACACCAGCTATCTTGTCCGCTCATCTGACTACCACAGCAAGAAGCAACTCCTGCAGCGTCTTTCTCAAATAAAATATCAAGTCTCCTCAGAGGCCCGGGACATTGGCAATGCCATGAGGTTTGTGGCCCGCAACGTTTTCAAGCGGACGTCTGCTGGAGCCAATGTCAGGAGAGTTGCGGTGTTTTTCAGCAATGGTCAGGCAGCCAGTATATCACCCATCCTCACAGCCACCATGGAGTTCAGCGCCCTGGACATCAGCCCTGCAGTCTTTGCGTTTAATGAAAGGGATTTCCTTGATGAGGCTTTTAGGGTAAGAATTTCCCCCCCTCTTTTTTTTAATTTTTTGTCTTTTTGAGACAGGGTCTCCCTGTAGTCCCAGCTGACCTGAACTCACTATGTAGACCAGGCTGGCCTTGAACTCACAAAGATCTGCCTGCCTCTGCCTCCCAAGTGCTGGGACTAAAGGCGTGCACTGCCACACCTGGCTAGACTTCTTATTTTTTAAGATAGTTATGTTGGCAAAGCATCATGGGAGGGGCAGGGAGTCAAAGAAGAGATGTGGTTTCTTTGCAGTTGCTGCAGCTGTGTCTTTGTGTCCATGGATATTTTTTTTAAATTTATTTTTTAATTTTATGCCTTGAGTGTTTTGCCTACATGAATGTAAGTGCACCATGTTTGTACAGGGCCCATTCAGGCCAGAAGAGGGTGCTGGATTCCCTAGAACTGGAGTCAGAGATGGTTAACAGTCATGTGGGTGCTGGGAACTAAACCCAGGTCCTCTGCAAGAGCAGCCAGTGCTCTTAACCACTGAGCCATCTCTCCAGCCATGTGGGATTTAATCCCTATTGAGACAGTTGCAGTAGCAGCCACATTTGCTTGGCCCCTGTCATGTGCCAGAACCTGGACAGAGCCATTGGTACAGGCTCCTGTGTTCTCACAACACTGAAGTGAACGCACATGTTATCTCCATGTTAAGTTGAGAGAGTGGAGGCCCAGAGTGTTCTAGTCACCTGCTCACCTCTACATGGCCACTAAATAGCTAAATGGAGATACTCACTGAGGTCCTACCAGCCCTCTGCTATCTCATTTAATGATGAGATAACCTGTGGCAGAAAAGTTCAGGGCATCTCTGAACCCCTAAAGTATATAAAACATTTGGTACAGATGAATATTTCCTCAAAGATGTCCTGTCATCTTTGAGACCCACAGATTGTAAATCCTTATCCCCCATCAAAACCAAAAACCAAACATACAAAAACCCCAGACAAAAGCACACCAAAACTTACAAAAAACTAGAGAGCCTCTTCAATGCCCAGTGACATTCAATGTATTGATTATTCATGAAATACCTGTTGTTACTTTTCTTGTAACTGTGACAAAGTACCTGACAGGATACAATTTAGGGGAGGAAGAGTTTATTTTGATTTACAGCTAGTAAGGGATACAGTTTCTCCTAGGGGGAAGACATGATACCAAGACTGTGAGGTGGTCAGTTACATTGCATCTAGGATAAGGACATAAGAGGGAGAACAGGAAATCAGGCCTAGCTATCAAATGTCAAGGCCCGCCTCCAGCAACTCATTTCCTCCAGCAAGACTCCCCTTCCTATAGGTGTAACTGCCTTGACAAACAGAGCTACCAGCTGGAGAACAAGTGTCTAAACACATGAGCCTGTGGTGAACATCTCACATTCAAGTCACCACCACAAGAGCTGGGGGAAGCCATCACATTGCTCAGGAGATTGTTAAGCTCTCTTCATAGAAATGTCTGCAACTCTACAGCAAAAAGCAAAAGATATTCCTTGTCAGAAGGTCTCACAGTACACCTTCAGAATGGAGGCTGTGAGGACTTGATGAAGAGGAAGGAGGTGTCCTGTGTGGAGTACAAAAGGAGAGGCTCTGCAGGCAATGCTTGGAGGGGGTGTGGTTATGCAGGCAATAGTTGGAGTGGGCGTGGCTCAAGCAGGACACCTGTCCAGAATGAGGGTGGGAGGGTGTTGTCTGCTAAGATCATAGTGATAAGAAGTAGCTTCCAATGGCCTCTCCTGTCAGTTCTCTACACAGATGATGGGATTTAAAAGACACTATCCTCAGGAGCAGCTGGAGGTGCTTTTATGTGGAAGACTCCCTTGGGGATTGGGCATGGCCCTATTAGAGGATAAGGACTGAATCCTTCTATTCTAGAATTTGATATTGCTATCAGAGTAGAGACGTTTTGTTTCTCCTAAAAAGCAAAATTAAGGAGGCAGAAAAGCTTTGAAAAGAGAAACCAAAATCTGGGATACATGGGCTTCTATAATCCTTTCTGTCAGGTACTTTTGTGACTCTGTGGCTCCTACTTCCAGAAAATTTATGTGTGTGTGTGCGTGTGTGTGTGTGTGTGTGTGTGTGTGTGTGTGTTTATGTATTAGAGAGAGTATCCTTTGGATGGTTCAGCAGTCAAGAGTGCATAACTGCGCCTGTAACTCCAGCTCCAGGGGATCTAAAGCCTCTGGCCTCAGGCACCTGCATCACACCACACACACACACACACACACACACACACACACACACACACACACACACTCATAATTAAAGCGATAAAAAGAAATCTTAAAAAATTATCAATATGATAAAGAATATCCTTTCGTTCTAGTTTGGTTTCTGTTGTTGTGATGAAACACTGACCAAAAGCAACTTGGAGAGGAAAGAGTTTATTTGGCTTACAGTTCATAGTTCATCATTGAGGAAAACTAAGGCAGGAAGTTAAGGCAGGAACCTGGAGGGAGGAACTGAAGCAGAGGCCATGGAGGGATGCTGCTTACTGGCTAACTCCATGGCTGCTCAGCTACTTTTCTTATATAGCCCAGGCCCACCTGCCCGGGGTGGCACCAGCCACAGTGGACTGGGCCCTCCTCCATCAATAAACTATTAAGAAAATTCCTTGAAGATGTGCCTGCAGGCCAGTTTGATGGAAGAAATTCTTCAACTGAGGTTCCCTCTTCCCAGGTGACTCTAGTTTGTGTCACACTGACAAAAACTAACCAATACACCCATTCTTGCTTTGATCAACGTCTTAGTGTGAAGATAAACATTTTTTATGTGTTGTTTGGCCATTTTCATGTTTCTGTGCCACCTCACTTTCCTCATATCATTTTTTAATTACTTCTTTTGACAAGTCTATTCTAAATTACTTTTCCTTATCTTTTGATCTCTGTATGACCTCTCAACTGGAAATTAAACTTGCGGTCCCCACTGATATCCTAGAAGTTTATAAAAATGTTTAAAATTTTAGTAGGTTGAATCTCTAGAAATTTGATTCTCTGAGATAATTTTTAATGAGTCCATGATCTTTCCTCTTACAAAGTGAACAAAATGAACAGTTATTAAGTACTCATGCCTTCCCCTCAAATGTTAGTTTTTTATATTGTTGGAGACCCTCTGTCTACTGTAGATCAATTTTCTCCTTTCTGCCAAATCATTCTAATCAAGATGAAAAAATTCAAACTTTTTGGCCCAACTTCTCACTTTAGTCATGACCCTGTTTCTTAGCTCCCCAAATAACGATTTCTTAGAAAAAACATCGTCTATATTTGCTGTCTCCAGTGCCTCTACTATTTTCTCCCATTCATATTTTCATAATCATTCTCTCTCTATAACCTCTCTATCATCACTCTCTTTCTTTCTCTCTCTCTCTCTGTCTCTCATCTATCATCTGTCTGACTGTCTTGTCTGTCTGTCTGTCATCTATCTATCCCATCTTGTGATGCTTCTCAGAACTCAAGAACTCAAATTGTCTTGCTTCATCCTCTTGGAAGCTCATACTACAGGCCCAGGCCACAACCTGGCTCTTAGACTCTCCCTTGGACTAACCCACTTCATCTTCATTCCTACTGCTACCTTGATGCTGCTCTTGATAAGTTAACAACAGTCTCCATGCTTCTGCACCCAGGTGCTGGTTCCCATACGCAGCTCATGTGACTCATGGCAATATGGTACATTGCTGACCCTGCTCTTTCTTGGAATACTTTCCCCCAATGATTCAGCACACTGACTGTGCGAACTTTTCCTGAGGAGACACAAATGTCTGCTCACCCCAGAGATCGCACCAGTGACAAACCAAATTCCACCCGAGTCTAGCTTGGTGAACCAATGAGTTCATTAGATTTTCTTTCAGGGGGGTGTCGGGGGATGGTTCCTCATAGGAGTTTGGGGTAGAGGTTTGTTACAGGAGCATGGATGAGTATTTACTTATGGAAGTATAGGTGAGGGTTTATTTACTGGAGTGTGGGTAAGGGTTTACTTATGGGAGTATGGGTGAAGGTTTATTCACCAGAGTATGGGTGAAGATTTACTTGCTATAGTGTGAGTGAGGAGTAACTTACAGGAGCACAAGCAACCCTCAAACCACTGCATCACTAAAAAGTCTCTTCCCATATGGATGATGATTTCTTCAGAACCACATAGATGAAGTCTCTGTTCAGTCAGTGTTCCTCCGGTATATGCTGGTACTTCCACCGACCACAAGCAACTGGGGCAGAATCATATACACCAGAGTGAGGACTGTAAGAGGGAGTATCTGGAATCTCTAGTGAGGGTCTAGTGACCCTCCTGCCTCCTTCTTCCTGGAGGAAAGGTTAATAGGCTTGACCTTGTTGAGGGTGTCTTGTGAGTAATCACAGCTGCTCTGATTAAGATGGTGATCATGTTATGTTTGGGTGTCCATGTTCCACAATGGCTCATCTCCCTGGGCTTTCTTTTCCTCACGAGCTGCTCCTTCTCAGTTCATCTTTCTGTTCAATTTATAGCTGAATTTCATTTAAATGTTACCTGGCATTTCCCATCTCTACTATGCTGCTTTTTTTTTTTTAAAGAAAATGATTACTTTTCAATGTACTAAATAATAACTTACTTATTTTAATGTTTATGGTACTCGCTAGAATGCAAAGTAGAGAATTCTCTGTTATGTTCATTTCTACATACCTAGTAGCCATAACATTGTGGGCACCCAATAAGTATTTGTTGAGTGCACAGATACAGGAATGTAGAACGTGTGATCCGCTCCTGTGAATCAGCTCCCTTGGTTCACCCAGTGAGCATGTAGTCTTTAGGTGTGGCACCGAAAATGTCAAATGCAGAGTAATACCCAAAGTGTCCATTTTTTAAAGTAGAGTTAGAGATGTGGAGAATAACTTCTCACCCTAAGGCTGAATGTGTTCAAATAATCAACACTTTATTGAAAAGCAGAGGGTTAGGCTTTCTTAATCCTTTGATGCTCTGAGGAAGAAAAAAACAATCATGAGATTGCTGTGGGTTGAGAGCACGCCTCCTCATCACCAACTGGAAATGATACATATCTTTCACTGTAATAAAATAGCATCTGGGAACTGGAGAGATGGCTCATCAGTTAAGAGCACTGGCTGCTCTTGCAGAGGACCCGGGTTGGGTTCCCAACACTCACATGGAGGCTAACAACTATCTGCACCTCCAGTTCCAGGGGATCTGATGCCCTCTTCTGACCTCCATAGGATTGTATGACAGGGGTTCACTTAGATACATGCAGATAATACACTCATACACATAAAATTAAAATTAAAAATAAAATACTTAAAAATTAAAAAGAATCTGCCGTGCATGGGGCCTCATAAGTAAATGTCCAAAAATTAGTTATTGATTCAATGAATTAGTGAATGAGTGCTGTGAAGAAGTAAGCAAGAAACAAAATCAGAGTAAAGGTTTATCTATAGGAGAGCCAATGGAGGGTTACAACCAAGAATTTTGAATGCATACACATAAAACAAAAATAATAAATAAAATAAAAAGAACTTTAAAAGAATTTTGAATGAATGTAATGTCTTCAGTCTACTAGTATTTGAAGTAGATTTAACTGGAGTTTATTATTGAGAAGGTCCATCTGACATCTGGAAGATGATGGCACGGAGTATAGAAATGGGTTGGATATCATCACCTTGTAAATGAAAATTTTTTTCAGGGCCCAACTTCAGAAGCTGTTGTGTGCTATCTTGTCACATGGTGCATAATTAGAAGCATGTTAAAATTAGCCTAGCATTTCAGAAATGGAACTAAGAGATGTTTAGACTTGAACCAGAGAGTGAATTTGGTCAGGTTACCTGTGGCAGTTTCCTCATTATGAAATAGGGGCACTGATGTCTGTTCTATGCATAGACTTTTGGGGGTTTGTTTACGATATAAGAGGGATAGTATATATGTGTGATACTGAATTATATGAAGGGTTATAGTACAAATGATTGTAATATAAAGGATTGTAGTACAACATAATAGTGATAAAATGGGATGGGTGTTTTCCAAGTTACTCCTCATAGTGAACACATAACAACTTCCTAATAATGACTTGGTAATGCACAAACAATGCTTGATTCTTTTTCCCATGCAGTTTGACAACACTGGGACATTTCAAGTGATTCCAGTTCCTCCAGATGGGGACTATGAACCACTAGAGAGACTTCGACATTGCACACTTTGCTATGGTAAGATCAGTGAGGAGGGTTTATATGCTGAAAGCTTAAATGCCTTCTGGGTGAGTTTTTGAATTGGGCTTTAGGCAGAGATTTCTATTTTGATGGTAGGTTATATTTTCAATTTTCAAATTTTGGAAAATGTCATATGTTGGGATTCCAATCTTTAATGTTTAGAGAGTCTACATAGACTGTGATAATTGGTTTAGAAAATTACCCAATGGATGGAGCCTTTCCTGGGGACAATTTGTAGTTTGTATTGAAAGCCTCTAGTATATTGAAACTGTTTTCAAATAAGTTTGGATATAATTGTGACGTTGGGTGAACATGTTGTTTACATCTGATTTCAGCATAGACCCCAACATTATTTGCTAGTGACCACAAAAACACTGGGACATTGACAGACCCTCATTAATTTAAATGATGTGAAATTGAAGAAATATTGATCAGATGATCAATTGTTGGTAATTGGTCACTGAATCACTGGAAGTTCTCAGTGTTGTGCCAACACTGACCCACTGAAGCATCTCTTGGTGTGTTTTCAGATAAGTGTTTTCCAAATACCTGTGCTGAAGAGACTTTCCTACCTGAAAATTCATACATGGATGTAGCATTCATTGTAGACAATTCCCGAAATATAGCAAGTGATGACTTCAGGGCCATGCAAGCCTTGATGAGCTCAGCGATTGACAACTTCAACATTGCTTCCAACCCTTCAACCTCTTACTCTGGTGATAGGGTTGCCTTGTTGAGCTATTCGCCTTGGGATGCTTCCAGGAGAAAGAAGAATACAGTAAAGACAGAGTTTGAGTTTACAACTTATGACAACCAAGCCGTCATGAAAAACCACATTCACACTTCCCTCCAACAGCTAAATGGAGAAGCCACCATTGGTCTTGCCCTACAGTGGGCTGTGGAGAGTCTGTTCCCAGGAACCCCCAACTTAAGAAAATACAAAATCATCTTTGTGGTTTTAGCTGGAGAAAATCATGAGAGAAAGGAATTTGTGAAGAAGATGGCTTTGAGGGCCAAATGTCAAGGCTATGTCATATTTGTGATTTCTCTGGGCCCCACACAGAAGGATGACATGGAGGAGTTAGCTAGCTACCCACTCGATCACCATCTGATACAGCTTGGAAGAATACATAAACCAGATTTGAATTATATTGTGAAGTTTCTAAAGCCGTTTGTATATTCAGTCAGAAGTAAGTCATTTGGTTATTTTCCTTTGTTTTAATGAACTAGGATTTGGTAGTAGTATCAATAACCTAACATTAACATTTTATGTGTACAATGAATCCAAATATATATTGATAATGATAGGGGGCATGAGTGGGACATATCCTGATTATATCTTGCTTATACCTGGGCCACAAAATGGCAAGTCCATTCTATGCTAGAGTATCTCTTGTCAAATTCTGCAGGGAAGAAATCATCGAGTGACTAGATGTCTCCTGAGTTGTATTTGTTCAGCCTGAAGAAGTCCTAACAGCTCTTAGAAAGTGTCTAGTTTGAGCATTTAAATGATGTACCTGGTTTATTTTCCAACTTTGGTAGGCGGTGGAGAGCTGTGTGAGAATGGCTGGTGAGAGACACAGTTATGTTCCATAGGGACTCTAATTACCTAAAAGCAGGTTCCAGTGCAGCAGGGCTAGGGTGGAGCCTGAGATCCTGCATTCCAGGTGCCTGAATGATGCTAGTGCTGTGGTTCACGGATCACAGTTTAAGCATCATGGCTCTTGTCCAGTGAGCTGCAATGCATTGTCATTGGATAGGTGCCTGCCCACAAATTGACCTGCAAGAAGGTAAGTTCAGAAATTCAGAGTAAACTCCTATAATCCTTTAAAGGAATTTGACATTGACTGCTGGAGCATACGAGTGGGGAATCAGTGGACTCTGCCTCACTGGAAACAATGTAGAGCAGAGGTATCAGGCTGCCAAGGTTTAGAAATCATGCCTTGTACTCTACCACAAATAGTGTAAGAAAACACTTCCCAAGAGAAATAGTTCTTGGTATGTGTATGTGATTTTGCCTCCAGGGGATAGTTAGAAATGTCTAGGACATTTTTCTGGTTCGCACAACTTTGCAGTAACACTAGCATCAGTTCACATGCTGGACCTCCCAAAACCCAGTCCCCAAATATCAGTAGATTGTGGTTGAGAAGCCCTTTGTATTAATCCACCTAATACAGAATTAAATACCCAAAGCAATGAAATTGTAAAGCGCAAAGGTTTATTTTGGCTCATGCTTGTGGAGGTGATAGTTGAAGGTTAGGTAGCCCCCGTGCATTAGGTCTCTGGCACATCCTTCATGGCAGGGGTGTGTGAGAGAGCATATCTTCTGTCGCAAGGCAGGAAGCAAGAGAGAGAGAGGAAGGGAAGGGAGTCCCATGGTCTCTTTCAAGGGCACACTGCAGTGACCTAAGGACTTTCCATTAGGTCCTACCTCCCAAAGAGTCCCAGTATCTCCCAATAGCCCCACCCTGAGGACCAAGCCTTTAACACATAAACCTCTGGGGAACATTCATCCAAACTATAGTACCATCCTCTGGAGGATCCCACAAAGTGGAGCTGAGTCTCTTCTTTCTGAGACCACTGGGTTTAGAGCTTTGTTCTGCACCCTACAGTTCTGTTTCCCTGATACTAAAGAGAGTTTCCAGTACCACTGCAGGTAGAGTATCCTGAAGGGTTCACTCTACATAGCAAGGAGGCCTCTGCTTCTCTCCTGTGACTCATATTCTATTGGAGAATCCTTTACCTGCCATCTTGGGAATGCCAGATTATTTCCTTTAAACCTAACAAGTTCTCAATTGCATGCCCTAAAGATAAATTTAAAATGCTTCCAAGGGGCTGAAGAGATGGCTCAGTGGTTAAGAGCACTGACTACTCTTGCAGAGGATCTGGGTCTGGTTCCCAGCACCCACATGGCAGCTAACAACCATCTGTACCTACAGTTCCAGAGGATCTCATGTCCTCTTATGGCTTCCATAGGCATTGTATGCATGTAGTGCACCTAGGTGTATGTAGGCAAAACATACACATAAAATCAATAAAAAATAACGCTTCCAAATATATTTTGATATCATCCCTTCCGTTGGATTAGTTTTTTATTTTATAGTAATTAAAAATTCTTTTGAATGTACACTACCATGTGCCACTCTGGTGTGTGCACACAAAGGAAATGTGTGTGAAGCAAATGGCTATGCACTCCTAAAACAATGTCACTTTTAGAATAGACTCTTTTGCCGGGTGTGGTGGTACACACCTTTAATCCCAGCACTTGGGAGGCAGAGGCAGGCAGACCTCTGTGAGCCTGATCTACATAGTGAGCTCCAGGACAGCTGGGGCTACAGGGAGACCTTGACTCAAAAAGACCGAAAAAAAAAAAAAAAAAAGAATAGACTCTTTCAAGAGTCAAAAACTCAAAAGTCCAGAATTTGTACTTCTTGATTCTGAGGCTGGGAGAGCCATCTTTCCCCCAAGTATTGTCTTTTGTGCCATTAAGATGGATAATGATGCAATGATTTTTAAAAGACTAAAAACAACTCAGAGCTCGTTCTACTGAGCTGGGAAGTGGTTTTATAATCAAGTAAAGATGACTTACTTTTGACTCCCACCTGAGCAGTGTTGTTAAACACTCATAATCCCTTGCTTTCCCTGCACCTCTTGGTTGGGAGTTAGATGCCTGCTCTCCTGTCTTCGTTACTGCTGTGATTTTTTTCCCCAGAGTGCTGCCTGCCCCACCCCATCGTAAACATGCTTTTCCCACATGCACAGAAGTGACAGCTGTGCGAGGATCCCTGCTTTACCAACAGCCACTGTCAGATGCAACTCGTCAGAGACATTGTCTTATTTTAGACAAATAGAAAAAGAAAAAAAAAGGCTCAAGCTAGAATCAGAGACATGAGATTATTGCAAAGTTGTAGACCTCTGAGATATTTTCATGAACTCTTGACTCTTTAATCATCAGAGGCCTTTTTTTCATTGAAAAACTTTTTGTAAATGAGAGGAAAAATTGTAGAGCAATGTTCTACAGCTTATAGAACTGTCTGAGGAAAACCATAAAGAAATGCATTATTTAGATCAGTAAGGTAAAATCCTTTCTGTGACTCCTTTCCTTGTAGGAAATCAGTGTTCATTGCTGCAGAAGCAAAGAAATAACATCATGTAATAAAACATCATCTTTTCTATGTTTGATCTAATAGTTTAAATCCAAGAGAAAAAGCTGTAGAGAACCAGAACAGATTGTCTCTCCAATTATATTAGCTTCGGCATATGGAACACGTGTCCCTCAATTATAATTAACACCTACATGAACAACTCGAACTTTTTTTTTTCTTGATCCTAGTAATTCTTTGGCTGCTAAAACACTCTGAAGTTCAAGTTGTGAGTGTAATTTCTAGCTGTCAGTATTTTCTATTTTCACCGCAGCCAAACTCTGTTGAACTGTGTTACTAATACTTATTGCTTTGAGAGGATTCCTGTTGGGACTCTCTTTGCTGAGAAAACCCAATTTCTAGTTTTGAAATCAAACTATAACTTTGTTCTCTCCATAGTTGGATTCAATCAGTACCCACCACCGATGCTGGAGAACGCCTGCAGCCTCATCAATTTAGAAGGGGAGGATGAGCTGATCCTGGGTCTCCAGTGAGTTGGAGAGCTGTTAAATTTACAAGCGATTGTTAATTGACTGATGGATATATAACTGGCTGATGGCAGTTATTAGGCTAAGGAAGCTAACAAGGTCTCTGGGGTAGAGGCTCTTCCTGGATCCCATTTTCTGCAACCACCAGTCACATATCAAGCGTGCTTTCCAGTCTGATGTTTTTATAACATCCTGAGCTTCATTACCATCTCACCTTTAACACTGTGGTTTCCTTGGGAGTGTCTGATAAATTTTACCCCAGAACAGAACTCACAGCTTATCCTCAACTTCATTGTCCAGGTCCTCCCCATCCTGAGGCTCCTAGCTGCACTGGTCTGTTGTGCACGTTGTGTGAACCTGCCTGGTGTCTGGTCAGCTGCCCGGGATTCTACTCCCTCTGGTGAAATCCTACTCATCTTTCATGGTCCCGACTGAAGTCTCCTTTTTGTAGCTGACATTTAACCCCCCTTCCCCATCAAAATCCACAATCCTAGCTGGATATGGTGTGACATGCCTATAATTCCAGCGCTCAGGAGGCTGAAGTAAAAGAATCGTGTGTTTAAGGTCTGGGCTACACAGCAAGACCTTATCTTTAAAAAAAAAAAAAACAGTCCCTTTTTTGTACCTATGCTAAGGCACTGATGAGAGTTTATCACAACGTCATGTCTCACTAAGTCTAGGTGAGCACCAGAGTTATTGTTTCAACCCCAAAGCAGTGCATAAATGGCCTCATAATGTAATTGCACATGCAAATAATTTGCCTTTATAGTGAATCCTAAATAAAAACATGCAGGTAATTGGATGACTCTTGCCCTTCTAATACCGTGGGGAGTAGTCCCTTTTGGTTCCTTTTAGCTGGTATTTCCCTGAGCTTGGATCACTGACTGCAGCTGATTTGGCCTCATAGTTTTGCCCTCCTCTTAGATTACAGTTAAGCAAAGGAACTTCTCAGACCAGATACGACTCTTACATACATCCAGAAGCAACCAGAACCCATGCAGGCACATAGTTCTCTAAAGCCACAGTCCATTTATTTGTAGTTTAGCAGGGGAATATCCTGCAGCTAACCCCTTCGAAAGACAGCACAGCACTCTTGTCAAGCATAGCAGCTTCCCTTGAATAATTCACAGTCTTTTAAAGGAAAACCAATTCTTACAGAGCTGTGAAGAAAATATTTTGTTACTTAAACACGTACTAGCTGTAAATACCATATGCTTTTAATTCTTATGCAGCTATTAAATCAAACAAGTTTATACATCAAATCCAAACAAACTCAATAAGACAAAAAAAATGAGTCAACACTAATTTCATACGATGATTGATTTTATTTTTCCAAAACTAAACTTCTGAAAACCAAAAAATATAAACATGTGATGGCACTCCACAGATGCTTTTGTGTTCAGCTGACCTCCCTTGTAGCATAATATCTTGATTTTCCACAAGTATTCACCTGCACAACACAAAACCATCATCCATACAGTGAACCATCATCCATACAGTGTGTCCTGTTTGTGTTTGGCTCTTGGGTGCTGTGAACATATTATTTTGCGTTCATTTTTAACAGTTTTATGCACTTGACTGTCTTGTGCATGTATCTGTTTTCCCTCCCAACAGTTACAGTGATACTTCTGGATACTAAACACAATCACAAATAATGAATTAAAATGCAGTGATCAAGAATAAGCATGTGTTGAATTTGTTTTCTGTTATTGTCTAAATAAAAACAGAATTCTCAAATTATCACGTGCTTTTTTGAATTGTTTTCTGTTTATTCTTTGAAATTTTCATCCATGTACACAACACATCTTGATCATATCTACTCCCACTCCCTCCCTCTAATTCCCCACAGCTCTCCCTAACACATCTGTTTCTAATCATGACCTCTTTTCTTTTTTATAACCCACTAAGTCCGATTAGTGGTGCCCATATACAATGGGTCATCCACTGGGGCCTAGGCAACCTATCAGTGGTCACCCTCCCCCAAAAGTGACTCTTTCACCCTGCAACCATCAACTTCTAATGGCTCCTTGGCTAGGGGTGGGGCCTTGATAGTCCCTCCATACTTTACAGAGAATTCTTTTTTAAAGTTAAATTTTTGTGAATTTCATGCAATATCTTTTGATCATATTTAGACCCTTTCCCCTATCTGCACCCTCTATAGCCCCCCGGCTAGATTTCATTTATGCCACCATATATATTAAGGCCTATTGAGCCAAGTTTGTGTCCCTAAATACCCTTTGAAATATCCAGTGTCCATCCACTGGAGCCTGTTTAACCTATCTAGTCTCACACCAAAAAACCAATTCTCCCTCTCCCAGTAGTCATCGATTGCCAGTAGACCCTCAGCTAAGGTTGGGGCTTCTTACCTTCTTCCCCACATCTGTGCTGAGATTTTGTCTGGCTTGAGCTTGTCTGATTGTGCGAGCTGTTACCGTTGCTGTGAGTTCATATATGAGTAACTTCCCAGCTGTCTGAAAACTCTTTTCCTGTGGTCATCAGCCACCTCTGGCTCTTACAGATTTTCTTCCCCTCTCTTCTACAATGGTCCCCGAGCCTTGGGTGGCAGAGTTTTGATACAGGTGTCCTATTCAGGGGTAAGTTCTTTGCAGTTTCTTATTCTCTGCACTTTGACCAGCTGTGACTTTCTAGGTTAATCACCATCTGTTGCATGAGGAAGCTTTGATGGTGAGAGTTGAGAGACGCATTAATATTCCTTTCGTCCTCTGTTTCACCATGTTCCCTGAGCCTTAGGTGTAGAGGTTGCATTGTAGGTGTGTCACTTAGGGGAGGACACCTCACAGACACTTAGTCTCTGCATTTGACCAGTTGTGAAACTTTATAATAGTCTCCATCTATTGCAAAGAGAAGTTTCTTTGATGAGTGCTGAGAGGTACACTTGTCCGTAAATATAAGCATACATATTTAGCAAATGTTTGAAATCTGATAAATCTCCTCTTCATTGCCCTTTGAGCTCAGGATTGCTTTGGCTATCCAGGATCATTTGTGATTCCATATTAATTTTAGAATGTTTTTTTCCTATTTCTGTAGAGAATGCCACAGGAATAGATTTTGATTGGGATTGCATTGAACCTATTAAGTTGCTGTTGGTAGGATGACCATTTTCACAAAATTAATTCTACCAATCCGTGAGCATGGGAGTTCTTTCCATCTCCTTGTGTCTTCCTCACATGCCTTCTTCAAAGATTTAAAGTTTTCATTTAATTAGTCTTTGGTTAGATTTATTCCTAGATATTTTATTTTTTAAGGCTATTGTGAATGGGAGTGTTTCCATGAACTCTTTCTCTGATTGCTTGTTATTTGTATATAGAAAGGCTAGTGTAAATTGATTTTGTATCCTGCCACTTTGCTTGAAGTATTGGATCATTTCTAGCAGTTTTCTGGTGTAAGTTTTGGGATTTCTTATGTAAAATATATCACGTGCAAATAGGGATTATCTGGCCTCTTCTTTTCTAATTGATATCCATTAATTTCCTTCTCTTATCTTATTGTTCTAGCTAGGGTTTCAAGCGCTATATTGAAAAGGAGTGGGAATACTACACAGCATTGTCTATTTCCTGATTTTAGGGAAATGCTTCAAATTTTTCTTGATGCTGGCTGTGGTTTGTTATATATAGCCTTAGTAGCTATGGAGTTCCCTGCAGACCAATTCCTTCTAGGACTTTTTTTTTTTTTTTTAATCATGAATGCATGTTGGATTTTGTCAAAGGCTTTTTCTGGGTCTATTGAGATGATCATGTGATTTTTGTCTTCAAGTCCATTTATATGATTCGTTATGCTTATTGACTAATGCATATTGAGCTAGTCTTGTATTTCTGGAATAAAACCACTTCGATCATGGTGGGTGATCTCTTGGAGCTGGAGTTACAGACTGTTGTTAACTGCTATGTGGGTGCTGCTAACTGAGCCCCGGTCCTCTGCAAGAGCAGCCAGTGTTCTTAACTGCTGAGCCATCCCTCCAGCTCCTCAGTATTCTATCTTTGCTCTGTACCTTTAGTGTTTTCACTATGATACATTGTGGAGATTTCTGTTCTGGTCCTGTCTAATTGGTGGTCTGTGTGCTTTTTGTATCAGTATAGGTATGTCTTTCTTTAATTTGGGGAAGTTTTCTTCTATAATCTTGTTGAAGATCTGATCAATGCCATTGACCTGAGATTCTTCTCCTTCCTATATGACTATAATGTGTAAGTTTGGTTTTTTCATGTGTTCCATACTTCCTTCATATTCAATTCCCGTGTTTTTAATTTTTTTCATAGTCTTTGCTGGAGTGGTGCAGTTCTTCAACTTTGTTGTCCAGTTTTGATATTCTGTTTTCCATTTCATTTTTCTGCTTGTGAGACTTTCTCCTGACATTTCAAATTAGCTTATTAAGTTTTTCAATTTCATCTTCATTTTAGTCTTCAATATTTCTGTATCTTTCATGAATTCACTTTTCAAATTCTGAATTGTCTTTGTCACTTCATTCAGCTGCATATTTGTATTTTCTTGAACTTCATTCAAGGGTTTATCCTTGTCGTCTTTGAGTTGTTTGTTCCCTAAAATCCTTGAATTCTTTGATCATGCTTATGATTGTTCATTTAAGTTCTGTGTCCTGGGGTTCCTCTGGGTACTTCTTGTTATAGAACACTTCTATAGGACTGGTGGGATTTGGTATGAATATAATATCTTGGTTTTTCATATTATTTATGTTCTTGCATTGTGACCTGGGCATATGGACTTCTCTTGGTTGTGTGTCTGATATGAAATCCTAACCCGTCCTTGTTGGGTTGAAGTTTGGTTCTGTTTTTACTGTAGCTTGGTTGTTTTCTCATCAGGTTTGAGTAGTTAGTTGGTCTGTGCTTCAGGTTCTCACTTTCGATTTTTTTTTTATGGGAAAGGTGGAATGGTTCCAAGCAGGCTAGTCATGAGCTCTCCAGCAGTGTGAATGAGCCTAGTCCCAAAGCAGGAGGATGGCAACTAAGTGGGTGGGTTCTGATTAGCAAGG